TTGGGCTTGCGCAGCACAGCAGGAAGGAGGGAAAGCGGGGAAAAAAAACATTGAAGCCGCATGTTTGGATCAGTTTAGAACTCAGGGGACTGGGTCACTGAGGGGTTTCAAAGGAAGGAAGTAAACAGGCTTGTGTAAATATAATTACGTCACAAACATGTACAAACTATATCGATACAAACGCAATTTGTTTACCAGTATCGACTCATATCATAAATAGCATGTTTTGAACTCAGAAAAGATTACATGGAATGACCTAAAAGTTAACAAGATCGTAAAATATAGTTCCATGTGTGTTCAACAAGCATGTTAAGAGATTCAAATCTGTGCTTTGAATCTAATGGAGTCCAGCACAGTGCTGTGTCTTATGAAAACTCAAATGATTGATATCAACATAGATTTTTCCTTGCGGCATGAAAAAGACCAAAGTCAACACACAAACTAAGGAAAAAATGTGGAGTCATTATCAAGAAATATAGAACAAACAATACGTTTAAAAAAAAAAGAGAAAATAAAAGAGTTTCTGTGACACACGAGGAAATGACTCACATCTAATGTATAACTGACGACCGTAAAATCTTTCCTTAGTCTTGCGCTTAAAGATTAAAGACATATCTTGGCTATATATTGTCACCTGTCCGGAATCCATTTACTTACCTTTCTGTTAATGTGCAGAGAAGGCAGAGAAAGACAAACCAGTTTAAGCCCTCCAGCAGAAAACAACTGAAATAACTCTGCTGGGTGACACAATGAATAAAAAATGTGTAGAGATTAAGAGATTAAGTTTTTAGGGACTAACTTTAGCTATATTTCTAACGTATTGAACCTTAAGAGTGGGTGAAAAGTAAAACAGTCCTCCAGGTAAACAGTTACACAATGTATGTACCTTAGTCACCTTATTTGGTTTGGATTGTCTACATATGACTCGTCTCCTGTTTATTCTATTAAATCGTCTTCCTTTCACAAGGTGAAATAGCTGATAATGCCCACACTAATAGATATATCTCTGTTAATCAAATATATCCCAAATGACTCATTATGACTCATGAAATAGCAGGGGAAATGTAGCACATATAACACACATAGCTTACATTCTGTTCTGTAACCAAATTAACTCAATCTTCAGGTGTCTCCTGTGAGGATAAATCTCATAATAATAATAAGAAGAATTTACACGTGTCTTTTCTCACAACAATGGATAGTTTCGCTTTTCTTAATTCTTAATTTAGATTTTATCGTGTAAGACCATTATCAACAGTTCTTCCAGTAAGCTCTTAGTGCACTTCGTTGTCACTAAAATGCTCCAGATTTACTGTCACTCAACAGCCCTCACTCTAAACATTTCGGTGTAATGAAGCAGATAACTAAGGCATTGTCTTTACATTAAGAAACCTGCGAAACCTGTGAAATTTTGCTTAATGTACATTGACAGGAAACTCAGTCATAGTTCTGGTCGCATCATATCTCACATTTCCCATCTCAGTCTTTATGCTGGCTCTAAGGTGGAGGCAAATAGCACGTAACTTGTCGCCCTGCAAAAATATGTTATAAGGAAGGGTGTTCCACAAAACTCTGACTCATGCTGCTATGCTAACACAATTTCAGGTTTAGTGGTTTCAGGAAATCCAGTGAGGTGGTGAAGCTATCTTCCTGCTGGGGAGCAGGATCACTCGCCTTGTGCAAGTGGAGAAGAGAATAGGAGAATTGTGACATCTTTTCACTCTTTTTCAACATTTGTACACTCTCCCTCATTTGAATTTGACAGTTACCAATCTCAGCCCCATCACAGTTCCCATTTCAAAGTCGCTTCACACTTATTTTAATATCGTAATGCATAAAAATAATACAGAAAATTCTCATTGTGCTGTCAGGTATAAAAGAAAATGATCAACGTATTTGAAAGGTCAGTACTAGCCAGGTAATATTAAAACACACTATGAACTGATCCTCAGTCAGTGTGAGCACCTTTTCCAGTGCAGAAGTTTGGAGGTTTGCTTATTTGAGGCATTCAGAGGCAAGTTGAGACACTTTCAAGGGATAAAGATGTAAGCAATGATTTTGGATAAGCTGTTGTTGCCCTTCAGTCTGAGAAGAGCTTTGATGCCCCTTCCAAACCGAAATCAGTTAGAAAGTGAGAGAATACAGACAGAAAAATAGTTGGCCACTGGAAACAAAAAGCTGCTTCTCAGACTTTAGAGGCCTCAATTAGAATGCTATAGCTCATGATGGTACAATTAAAAAAAGGCTGAAACGGTGAGTTTTGCAGGGATGGGTTGCAGGACAAAAGCCTGATCTCCTAAAACCAAACATGGTACTATACTTTAATTTTGCAAAGTTGCATCTGAACAAACCACAAGAGTTGTGGAACAATGTAGATAAGTTTGGTCATGATTTTGGTCATATTGCACAACACGGAGATTGATGAAAGCCAAGCACAGCATAACACCAAAAACGCTTCCTATCAGCTGTCAAACATCGTGGTATAGGGCTGATGATTAGACGTAAGGCTATCTCTCTGACAGTCCAGGCTTTGCCAAAACTGTGCCATGAAATGGGCCAATCACTCCAACCACACCTGCAAATATGCTGGTGGGAACAGCCAAATTATAAGGAGATCACAACACAACAAATAGACAATTCTACCACAGGAGGGCAGTAAAAAAAATCTTCAAACGCCAAAGAAAGATGAACAAAAGCATGGTTGAACGTAAAAGAATGTCAATTTCAAGAAATAGAAACAAATCAAATCTGTAAAATCAAGTTCTAGTCATACAATCTGATGCATAACAAGCATACAGTTTAAAAGTGAGCATTCAAATGTTTCACAGCTGCAGGAACAAAAGATTAGTTTCTCAGAAAAACATAGTGTATTTGATGGCCTTCAAAGAACACTGCTATTTTTAGTCTTTTCTGTACGACATATAACTGACCCAGCTTTCTAGATTGATTTATGCATCCTGATTCTGTCCTCCTAAGATCCTAACCCTTGAGCAGGGGTTATTTGACGATATAGATTTTGAAACCTTGAGCTAATGTCAAAGGTTTTTTGAGTTTCTGAAGGCGGAATCTGAAAACGTGGTATCAACCAAATGATTTCCTCATGTTCTCATACATGAAAACCCACTCACTGAAAACATGCGTACGTTCTCTCTCACCTCACTGTCTAATGTTCCGCAAACACAGGAAAATGCTGTGAATTTTTTACCACAGAGCTGAAAGTGGGCCCTCTGCTCGTGCTGCCAGCTGAATGCTTGACTTTCACTCTCTGCTCCGTTTCCACTGCGGCTTTAAAAAAAAAGAAAGAAAAGGCACCTGGGACTCCCCACAGTGTGGCAGATGGGGGAACAACCACACACCCACACAGGGTAGAAGGCTCCGCTCCACGGGGCCAAACACAACAATAACCCTCAGGATGGTCAGCAGCCCGTGCGCTGCCCTGCTTTCCATGAGCGTGCAGTGCTGAATCCAAGGTTTCCATGGTCAGGGCCGAAGAAACACATGTCTGGCTCCTCCGTTTACACAGCTTTGATTTGCTCAGTGGGCTTTAATAAAATAAAAAGATGTTAGAGTTGAGAGGTTGGTTGCAAGTGAAATGGTTATACAGATAATCCTGAATTACGCTACTCCAATCTAGTTTTAGACCAACAATTAAGTACTAATGTGTTGCATTGACATGGAGTCATGCTGTCGTTTACAAGCAGAAGATAATACAAACCAATGTCGGGACGAATTCATCTTCTTTTAGGCCTCCGTTGTTTTTGTTTTCAGTCAGATGAATGAAAGAGTAAGGTGTCAAATGGACAAACACATCAGATATAAGCGAGATATCTCATTATGTAGTTGAAGGGGTTTTATCACTTATCACTTCTTTCTTCAAAACAATCATTAATTAAACATCTTTGCATCTCCATTTTGCTCAATGTTTAAGTAATAACTATCATTCAACTTTATTGCTGCCAGGCAGACTGGAAATTAAAGCTCAATATGCAGATGATGGGGTTAGTCCTCCACCTGCTGGACACATGCCGGCTGTACTACTTGTCTGTAGAGTTGCAAGGAGTTTTGGAAAAATTCTCAGTTTATAAACATAACCTTGTTATTGGAATAATGGGAAGCATTACTTTGAATATTTTATAACTACTTATGGTGATCTAAAACTGAGTTATTGATATGGTATGAAAAAAACTGAACTTAAACATGGTTTTCACTCAAATGAAAACACACATTTGAGATTTTAAGGAATCCGGGTAAAGACTATTCAAATTAATAATGTAAGCAGAACCATACATATATTGAATCCAAGAATTACAATGTATGGAAAATGACAAAGAAATACATTTTCGAAACTCATTTTAACATGATCTTTGGCAAGTTTAGTAAAACTATGACGGATGCATTTGGATGGAAAACTTTCCAATCCAACATGGAAATAATTTACTCTGATACTGGTTGATGAGGGTGTGAATTTCTGTTGGTTGCCTCTGGTAAAATTATTATATTAATTGTTATCTTTACTCTCTAAGATGCTTACATATAACATATATTATTTATCTTTTCTATTATACATTTATATATTAAATATATATTTTATATGATAAATTACATTTAGATCTTTCAAGTTCAGAGGTAACCTCTTAACACAGATTTACGTAATCATTGTTTGTTTTTCCGGAGCATTGATTCAAAGATAGTAACTCCTGAAAGATAGTGATCGGCTTCACCCCAAAAAAAAGATAAACATGTCAGATCATGAACAATGTGTGTATGCAGGACATGTGACGTTTTGCCAAATAATCGGATTCGAAATAACTACAATCAGTTTTTAGTGTTATATTTAATATCAATCATTAAGTCACCCTCAACACAGAACATTTTAGGAATAAAGCTACTTCCGGGTATGCCGAGCCCTGTACACCAATGCCAAATACGCTACTATCCTTTCCACCAATCACTGTAGAACCGCTCCCACTTTCTGTTGCCAAGCGGAAGTTGAGGTGAGGGATGCTCTTGCTAGCTGCATACGTCTTTGAAGCCTTCGGGAAGACGGCATAGCGGCATTTGGTTTTCAGGTAGGATGTGGAGGGGTCCAGATATCTGTGGGTGCCTGGACCACTGTGCCTTTGATAAAGTGTCGTGTTATTTTGCTTTCAACATGAACCGTTTTACTCATAAATACTTTATCGCGTTCCTGCTTTTTTTTTACCTTTGCAGAAGCTAATGAGCTCATTTAAGCCACACGTCATTCAACACAGCACAATTTAACAGTGTTAACAGCGAGCCAACAAGCAATTTTGTTTGTCTGGCTTTCTTAAACTGAGTGGTTGACTGCCAGGCTTGTGTCGTCTCCCTAAAAAGTGTCTTGACGGCACGTTATTTCTAACCACACAGACGTTTTGTTTGTGGTTGGCCCTGTCGTTGTAACTACCTCTCCAGGATTATACCATGTTTGCCCTGTAGCTCTTCGTGATGGTGGTATCGCCCAATGACCACCAGGGGGCGCACGGGTTCGCTTGACTTATTGTTGGCTCTCAGCCTAGAAATCCATCCAGCCTTTGACCCACTGATAAGTTGACTAACCCTGAGGAACCCAAAAAGGACCGAGCAGCTCCAATTTGACTGGAGGTCAAAATAAAATTTCATTTTTTTTATTTATACAGAAAGCGTCTGAGATGAACGTGCATCTGACAACTGGAGCTACAGTGTACACGTCTGTATGGTGGGATTATTGTCTCGCTTTTATCTGTGGATACAATGTTCTCTTACACTGTGATTCTTAATGTTTTTTTAAAATTGTTTATAGGTGGGGCTAACGGAACCAAAAAGAAAAAATGTGAGATCAATTTAAAGAAATTATTTTGAAGAAGATGCCTCCATGTGGGGGTGAAAAGCAACCAATATCCTAATAAATGTTTTTACTTTTGAAGGTCTTGGATAAAATATCACATGTCGCTGCCCCTGGCTGTGGGTGTCCTGTTTGTGGGAATCCCCTACTCTGTCTGTGTGGTTGCCCAGTGGTTTTACGGCTGGCCCAACAAGCCTGGGTATAAAAAGTACATAGAAGCCCTAAAACCAAGGTATTTGCGGGCCCGATAATGCACGTGTCACACATTTGTTTATTTCTCAATATCTCAAAGGAGGACGTTTTGGTAATCTAGCTGTGTTTGGCCCACTTAATCAGGCGGATTTATTGTCTGACCGTAGCTATGCTGGATCTTCTTAAATACCTGAAGTATGGGAGGCTATATCTTCAGCTCAAGTCCTGGTATAAGAACACTGAAAACTGTAAGCACTACAAGAAGGTGTGTAGGGCAAATTCCACTCTTTATATTTCAAGTAATGCCCAACAAGGTGTCTATGATTGAAGCTGTGCTTATCCGCCCCGTGAAGGGGATTGTGTTTGGCCGCAGAGGCAACAAGCTGGACCTGTACCACCCACCAGACGTGAAGAAACCTGAAGGTGCTCCAGCACCTCTGGTGGTTTTCATCTATGGAGGCGCCTGGGGTTCTGGAGAAAGATCCATTTACTGTTTACTGGCCAAACAGATGGCCGAGGAGCTGAATGCAGCTGTCCTTTGTCCAGATTACAGCACGTATCCGAAGGCAAGTAACCCAAACACATGTGTCCCGCACATGGTCTTGTTTATGGGACTTTGATGCGAGCGGCTCTTTGCGTGGCAGCGAGTTTCTTTTGGTTTGGCTGAAGCTAATCCTTCAGGACAGAAAACAAACGTGATTAAAGCTGCCAAGCTGGTCCCCAAACCAACGGGTGTGCTATTCTTATTGTCAGGGGAACGCATTAGCCATGGTCCAAGATATCGCTGACTGCTTGGTTTGGGCCCAAGAGAATGGAGAGAAGTTCCACTTTGACAAAGTAAGACCTATTTTTGTATTTTTTCTATTTTTTTACGACTGAAATGAGTCTGCTTTACTCAGGCTCCACTCGGCTGCACAGCCCTTGTCAGTTTGATGTGGCTCTGATTCTTTAACCCTCTATAAGCCTGATGTTTTGCTCTCATTTCTTTTTGTGTCTTTTGAAGGACAATATTGTGTTGAGTGGCCATTCAGCGGGTGCACATCTGTGCACGCTGACCTTATTGTTTCTCATCGATGCGAGGGAGGAGCTCTTCATCGAGACTAAGAAGCAGCAGGATGTCGCGCTTTCCATAAAAGGCGTCATCGGTAAGCTGACGGGAGGCTTCGGGTGTGTGTGCAAACGGTCGCTGTTGCCCGCTGATGGTGGTGGGCTTCTGTTGACCTCTGACAATTAGTCCAAAACAAATAAGAGAGCGGAGATAACTTCCCTCTGTTTTTCTTCCATGATCTTGTCCAAATCCTGACAGACATTAGCGATAGGGGGAAAAGAAAGCATTTGATTTATAGATCTGATTCTCTGATTCTCGGCAGCAGACTTTCTGGTTTTTATTTTGGGATTAGCTGTGATCTATTTATAAAAGGGGACATATCTGTACTGAAGATCACAGGCATGAAAGAGGCGATGGAAGACGGGCAACAGTGAACAAGACCGGGCAGATGAAGGAGAAGCGTTGTTGATGTTAAAAGAAGAGGACGGAAAAAGAGAAGAGCCATTAAACAAGCCTCATGTGAGGCATTGAATTCCTCACAGTCTGGTTTCAGGCTGTGGGATTTGCTTTGTGAACGACACCTTTTTCACAACTAGCTGTAAAATTGTGTTGAAGATGATGAGATAATTTCCACTTCATATTAATGTAAGGAAATGCCCACGTAAATGTTTTTTTGCCCAGGTCTTCACACTTTTCTTAGTGTCCCTTTTTCCTGAATGAGGCCAATGATTTTTTGTGGTCTGTTCCATTTGAAATGTTCTAATAAGTCGATATTTTTTTTTCTTTTTCTCTGCACAGGTCTGAGTGGTGTCTATAACATCATGGACCATTATGAGCACGAGCAGAGGCGAGCTGTTGAATACGTCTCCACAATGCACAAAGCCATGAACGGAGTGGAAAACTTTCAGTACTACTCACCGACGCACTTCCTAAAGCAGCTCGGGCAGGACAAGCTGAGCAGGTGAGAGGCGCACCCAGATCCGTTGCATGGGTTTTTTTTTTTTATTCTGACGGTTTCAGAGAGCTCTGTCTTCTCTCCCCGCTGCTGCCAGGCTGCCTCAGTTCGCTCTGCTCCACGGGACCGGGGACATAGTTGTTCCGGTGGAATCCTCAACGGCGTTCTCTGAGCTCCTCACCTCGCTGTCGGTGAAGGTGACGCTCTACCTGCTTCCTGGAGTCAACCACACCGAGATGGTCACTGAGCTCATGCTGTCAAACAGGCGCTTCTACCACCCCATCTTCAGCTGCATCAAACAGGAGTTCCGGAAGCTTCTGGGTGCCTCCTGACGACCCGCTGTTTGTACATCAGCGGGATTCTAACAGCACCACTCATCTCCTCTTTACTCTGTCTGACCCGATACATGAAACTGAGTCATATTTATTCTCACAACAGTTTTTCTAATTGTGAGTGAGTCTCGGATTTTCTGATAATTTTTTTCTACTATATTATGAAAACAGCTTTTCTGAATTCTCTGCACTCCAGATGTGATCAGCCTAAAAATGTCTTAGAAGGATCCATCCATCCATTATCCTCCGCTTATCCGGGGTCAGGAACTCAAATGCAAATATTGAATGTTGTGGACATCTATGTTGTTTCTGACCCATTTCCCCCTCAGTGGTGACAGCCTGTCAGTGGGACCAACCTGGGGATCTCTGCTGTGGACTAAACTAAAGCTGCTTTTATTAGTAATCACGATTGAAATTAAGTTAATCAACTACACAAGAAAATCAACCTTAAAGCGAAAACAGTTCATTAGGAAGCAGATATGTTTACTGTAAAACAGGGCTCCAGACACCGAAACTCTGATTGTGGGGAAAATTGCATTTTTGGTTTGTTTTAATATAAATGATATTTTTTACTTAGTTCTTTTATTAACTTTAACATATACTGATTTGTATTAACATCATCCTTTCAGTAATTCATCATTGCCTGAGTCCAGGTATACTGTCCTAAACTTGTGTAAAGAAACAATTAAACTGTGTACCAGCACTTTTTTTTATTTTTTATTTCCACTTTCATTCTTTAATTTTTTTCAGGCGACCAAACGGCAGCAAGCACTACTGAAACAAAGGCTATTCAAGAAGCAGGCATCAGCAAAAATCCTGTTTAAAACCTGCACCAAACCGTACTTCATTATCTTTAAACACTTTAAACCGAGAGCATAACTGTTTTACAACTACACTGAAAGATTTGTCTTGGAAGGAGTCTGCAGCACTATTATGAAATATTTGTCCTCTGGGTACAGACTTCTGAAAGGACCTCCCAGTAGTTCTACAGAGAGGGGAAAAGGCAAACAACCTCAAGCCAGTCTAATGAAATGAGAAAATTAAGTTTTCTAGTGTGTGTGCTGCATATATTTTGGTACCACTTTGCATCTCTGTGGTTATCTATCACATTTGAATTTATGTGAGATCTATCACACATTCCTCTCCTCCTGTCTTTTTAAATACCTATTTGTTGACAATGCCTTTATTTCTTTATTTTATGTCTTTATTTTCCATCTCGTAAATCTATATATCATCTTTATGAAATATCTGACTCCCCCCCCCCCCCCCCCCCCCCCCCCCTCTCATTTGAGTGAAAACAAAGCACTTTTGGCCCCTGGTGCCTATCTAGGGGACATGTTGATCATCCTCCTCTTGAGGCCTCATACAGATCCACGTGTAGGACATCAATAATGAATCTGTAGGCTTACTTGCTCTACCATAAATCTGTTTTTGGTTCACCCCGTATATGCCATTTTGAGCGGGCGCGCGCAGGTGTGCGTCCCTCACATCCGGGCCAGCAGCTTTTACTGTGAAGTTTGGAGCGAAGCGCACGGTCCCGCACGCGCGCGAGGCGGAGTTTGGGTCCGGGTCTGACTGCGGCAGCGCGCGCACACATTCCTCTCCCTCGCGGCTTTTACTCGGGTTGGCGAACCTCTAAACGCCACCGAGGCGTGAGGAAGTGAAGAACTGCACGGTAAAAATGTAACGGAACACTCCGCTAAATGTAACCGTTCCCACCGAGAAGAGAAACATGGAGTCTGTGGTCAACAACACCGAGAAGAAGAAGAAGAAGAAGTTGTGGCTCCCCTTTCTGCTTTGGTGGTCGCTCCTGGTCGACCTGGCTTCAGGAGGTAACCGTTCCCACTTTCTTCCCTGGACGTTTTATTTTTAAAAAGTCAATGAAAGCTAAAGTTGAATGAACTTATTCAATACATCTTTATCAGTGTTGGCAAATGTGTGTTTTACTCTTAAAATGGCCAACTTCGACGAGCTTTTCTCACTTGGTGGGCTCACTTGGGAATGCCAATTCAAAACTGTCACTGAAGACTGGAACAAACGAAAAGTTAAAACCCAAACATGACCATTTAAACATTCCCTTTCCCCTTTTTTTGTAACGCCAGCTAAACATATGTGTATTACATTGACTCTGCCTGCAAAACCACCCTCATTATCACTTTACAGAAGGTTATTGAACGCTTTAAACGTCGTGTTGATGTTTTAAGGTCTTGCAATACCAGCCTGGACGGGATTAAATTAAATGTGCGTGGGGACACGCCGGTGGGTGTTATGGTCTCGGTGTCACGACTCCTTTTATAAGGAGCAGCGAAAAGTCCGTTTATCCTGGAAACGGGCACGATCCCCCGTGGTTTTTGCACGTTACCAAAGCCCACCACGTCGATATTCATCTGGGATAAGCGTTGTGCAGCATGCATGGATAGGCACAGAGCCCTCACCTTGTCAGAGGCAGCAGCAGAAATGAGACTAATGCCCAGTGCGCTGGAAGAAATGTCTGACATTAATTCAGTGAAGTAAATTTAAAGAAATGGACAGTTGTTGCCTTAGGAGACCTTAGAGGGAAACCTTTCTTTTCCAGCTCCATGAACATTATTAACATTTTTCAAAGGTAGTCCTGTTTGATGTGATCCTGATAAATGTTCTATAAATTAAGATATTCCAGCATCCCCCATGGGGATCTTTGGGAATTATTAATTCCACTTAACTGAAAAAAAAAGACACAACAGGAATTTAGCTCAACATCAATGGCTTTTTGGATTGTGTCAATCGTTCCTGTTCCCTTCACACCCTGAAACAAGCCTTTCCTTTAAACGTCCCTGTCTCAGGCTTTGACAGCGTGTCAACAGCAGATAGGCAAGAGAAGAAAAAAACAAGAGACACTTCAGTCAAGTTGCATCTCTGATTTGTTGGACAAACTGAATTTACAAGCAGTGACAAGCACTGGTCTCGCTCCTCAAATTAGCTGTAAGCCGGTGTTCACTAAAAAGCTCCCAGGCTTCGTTTTTGAAGGGGGAAAATGTCCCCCCAGTGCACTGAAACCTGCCTCCGTTGACATGCAGATTACAGGACAAGGCACCCTCTTGTTTTTATGCTTTTGAAGGAGGGATGCTCAGGTGTATTGTTGTTTTCTGACTTGTCTACTCTTTCATTTACACGCACCCCACAAATGCTCCTGCTCTTTACACAGTGACAGTTCCAGAATAAAGTTATTTAAAGGGACATTGTGACGGAAAAAACGTTTTAGCCAAACATATTGGGTCACATGACTGACACGTCACTGTAATCGTGGCTCAGAAAAACAATTAGACACGCATGTCCGCCTTTGTGAATTTCAGAGAAAGATTGCATTGCATTCCTTTTTTATTTTTTTCAAAAGGACCAATCTTGGCTGCATAAAACAAACTGGTCAGATGAATGAGCATGGTGTGTGAGTGAGAAAGGACGGTCACCAAGTGTTAGTATTGTTGGATTTTTGCATGCCTGTGGGCCAGTCGGTTGGTTTCCCTGATATATTTAACAGTCCCTTCATCTGAATGAGAATTTCAGCAGAAAATAATGTAAAATCTGTCCTTGTTCGGGGCAGTGGGAACCAGTGCTGCCTTGAAGCAAAAAAGCTGTACATTTGAACATGCTGCTCAGCCCGGGTTTTTCTGTGAGAGGTTCACATTTTTATACTTCCTCCGGGCGCTTTGGCTTCCTCATAGTCAAAAGACTATATTAACCTTTTTTTAAATGAATATTGTGGTTGTTTCTGTGCTGACCTTGTCATGTGACTGGAGGTCTGTCCTATAGGGGACAAAGCCCCTTAGTTAATGGCAGCTTGGGTAGGCTCATCTTGTCCCACCCCTCCCTCAACAGGAGAAGGGAAAATCTAGAAAACTGACACATAACCTTGTTAGAACTGACAAGGACAGAAGTGACATATAAAATGTGTATTTTCAGAACTATCCAACCCAAAAGACACGATTTTTAAACCATATTTGCGATCAAAGCTTAATTGGGAGAGTCATTAATTCTAAAGGAATATAAGATCATTTTGTTTCGTTTACTTCGATGTGGCCTTTTAAGATATTTGGTTTTATGCCTTCAAACAAACTAATTTATCATCTATTTGAGAGAATGGTCAAATATTTACAATCAAAACATTAATTAATTAATGACAGTACCCCATGTTGAAATATCTTTGTTTAGTTAGCTTTTGATTGTTGAATTGTTCCTTTCAATGATACGTATGGTAACTGGTGTTGTATTTACTTTGTGTGTATGTATCTGTCTGTAACTTAAGTTATCCTTTTCATGTGTTGAGTGATGGAGTGTTAATTAGCATGCTTCACTGGTTAATTGTATCAGATGATACTGCTAATTAGTCCATTTAGCCCCTTTAAGTGTTAAACAGCACATGAACTCACATGAACTTTATCTAGCTCCCCCTGTTAGTCACTTTGCCCCATTAGTAGCTTACCCTAGGGCCATGAACTCCAAAAATAAAAATAAAAAAAATATGTAAGGGGCACGTTTCTTCATGGAGGCAAAGATGTTGACCTTTGAATATGTGTGGCACTCTGGAGCTCGTTAAAAACTGGTGAGAACGCTTCAGAGCACATTTGTGCAGATTACAGGGTGATGTGAAATGGCAGGAAGGTGAGGTAGACGGAACAGCTGGGTCGTCCACCATTATGTTTCCAGAACATGAAACCACAGACAATGTGGGGACGTCAGAGTCTTTCATGTATAGGCTGACGGTTCCTGTCAGGGCAGGGCAGGCCCAAGCACGTCTCTCTCCCCCGGAGCCACCTCCGCATCCCCTGGTTTGTGTACTGCTATTATGGCATTAAAATTAAATGCCATTAAACGTCATGCCATTGTTCAAACGTTCGGCACTCCATGAATAACTTTTTATTCGATCTACAAATGTGTGGAGACTTAAACCTACAAATTTATTGCAACATACAAGATTGAGTTTGGCTGCATCCTTAATGTGCTTGTTATTCTTTAGATAAACCTGTAATAACTGTATGCTTATCTGATAGGCTCCCAAAAAGATCTGAGGAGTCATTATTTGTCTGATATGAAGCTTCCTGGGTATCTGAGTGCTCTCCAGACTTATTACTGCTTTACTTGTGTATAACTACCAGATGATGATAATTAGCCTGGTTTTCGCATCTAAATGTCACACATTGGCTATGTTAAGACCACAATGCTGGACTTGACTTGCTCTGCATTTGCTGTCGTCAATGTGACCCACGTTCCTCTTCCAGTTATCTCTTGATTGTAAAATAGCATTAAGAAAAGCAGTGGGAGATAAATTTGAAGACATTTTCCATGTAACCCAGTACTATTTACTGTGTTTGTGTCTCTCTTTTTCAACATATCTCTTACAGCTTCCTTCTATGGGGATGGCTTTGTACAGCTCAAGGCAACGGAGTCGTCCGACCATAATGTGCTCCGCATCCGCTTCCGAACCTCCAGCGTGAGCAGCCTGATGTTTCTCGCTGCTGGCCAGTCCAACTACCTCCTACTAGTGCTTCATGCTGGTCGCCTGCAGGTGGGTACATCCATAGCTGCTCTGCATTAGCATATGTGTGCCTGCATATATATGTGTGAGCAGAGATGCATGCACACAGCCTAAACGCACGTGTGTGTGCTGAGCGACACACACAGTGTTTGTTCTGTGAGCTGTGGCTCAGTCTCTGTGACAGCGTCAGTCTGTCGGAATGGGCAGAGATATGAAGTGTGAGTGTTTACTCAGTGTTAGTCACATGAACAATAAAAGAAAATAGCCAGATTTTACATTTATTTGAGTTAGGATTTGACAAGTGAGAGTTTATTAGCTCCAGTTATATGTCAACCATTGGGTATTAGTTAAACATTATAAGTTGCTTATGTGTAATAAGTTATTGTGTTGACTTTGGATACTGAGTGTAGGATTCGGGTGAATCTCAGTCAGCTTCTATTGGTGTGATCAAAGGGGGAAACAATTTAGGCCTTAAAATCAGCAGCATGAAAGCAGCCCACGTCGGCATGCAGAAAGAACAGCTGCAGCGCTGAAAGCCTCTATAACAAATATGAAAACGGATGGTTCTCAGACATTCTTGTTCTTTTAGAAATCCATGTGACTGTGCTTATTCTTATGTTAGATTTTCATAGCTGGGTAAACGTGAATCACACTGACAAATGTGTTGAATTGTTACACTTCAGTGAGCACAAGAAGTGATCTGTGCTTCCCTGCTCTTTAAAGTGACTCTGGTCACAATTTTTAAAGCCACGGGTTTCATTCTGCGTGAGTCAGACATGAGCTTTGCTCCCTGAAAATCCACACATGTTTAGCTCAGCAGCAAGCCTTGACAAGCACATCATCTAAATGCAGAATTAGTCTGAAATAATGACGCTATACTCCGTGGATATAGCTGAAGGCGAAGAGATAATAGTGCTCTTCCTGCTCTAAATCACAGGCAAAGCTAATTATTATGACAAAAGGTAACATCATAAGCTGTCTGAATCCTGTGGCTTATTTCCCAGGTGTCACCGTTTCTTTCCCATTGTCATTTTTTCAATTGGAGCAAGTCGTAAAGTAATGTTATTATACAAATAGATTTATGTTTTATGCAGCAAAGATAGTAAAGGAATCCTTGCTGTCTGCTCAACCCTCTTTGTTCCTTGCCTCAGATGGACAAACTGAAGGCTTTCACACTTTTTGAGACTAAGTGTTATTCTGCGTTAAGATTCAGAGGGTCTTAGGAAATGTCAGTTTGTCAAAGGGCAAGGGTGAATGCATGGGACCTTTTAGTCCTCACGTGGCACTGCTTGAAAAACTGCCACCGTCATCAGTATACAGTTAGCCTCTGCATCAAGAAATGTGACCCTAAACAGTATTATGCAGGGGTGAAACTTTTGGATGCTAATGCCTAACAAGAAGGAATAAGTAGGAATAAAAAGTAGGAATAAATCTAAATTGAGTAAGGAATAAAATAATGAATGTGGTTGTTTGTTCTTGAACACTGTGGAACAATTTTCTGCGTGTGGAGGTATGAAGCGTGTAACCAAGTTCAAGAGCGTTGCAAATGTATTTTACTTCCTTGGGACTTATATTTTCTGCCTCTTAGACGAGTTGACAGTGGCAGTGCAGAGTGGCTTGTTGGCTGATAAGTAATTCCAAGTGATTGATGCAAGTTTTCTAAATCCACGCAAGGTTACACAGGTTGCTTGATCCATGAAGCTGCATGACAGTAAGAAGTCCAAAAATCCAAAACAGGTACATTTAATCCTGAGATCAGAGAAACACAAATCTTCAAAGAAAATGAGATTGACTCAGGTTAGGAGGAGAAGTAGGAACCCCAAAGATCCTAACATGAACATGAAATAAATACAAAACTATCAAATTACCAACGAGAGAAATGAAATGCATTTCAATTAAAGTAGCAAGTAAAATTTATTAATTGATGGCAAAGTAAAATTTCTCTTAAAATAGACTTATGTATTTATATAATGCATGTATTTTTGTATTGCATATTATAACTGTTTCAGTCCTCAAAATGTAAAAAAGAACTTGCAATTCTGTGAACTAGCAGGCAATAAAATAAGAATTTGCTGTGTCATTAGTTGGTTTTAGCAATGACCACTTTTTTCAAGCAACAGCTAGTGATTAGCATGTTTAATAATTAGAAGTGTGAATCATGGAATGTTCATAATTTGAGTCATGACAGTAATATGTTTTTTGTTTCTCTCTAAACCCAGAAATTATCCTGCTCGGATATTTTGTGCATTGACTTTACGATTGAAAGAATATTTTATAATGTACTTCTCCTATCACATTTCCCAGGTTAAAATGGACCTCGGATCAGGGGAGCAGGTGTTAGAATCAGAGAAAGGCATCCAGCTCAACGATCTGGCTTGGCATTCTGTGGAGGTTCGCCATGTGCAGCTCAATTTCTCTCTCACTGTCGATAAAAGCTCACACACAAGTATGAAGATGCCAGGTCCTCATCGCAAACTCAACGTCATAGATGGACTGTTTATCGGAGGCTCGGGGGGCCTTGACAGACTTTATCTGCCTAGAGGCCTGACTGGCTTCCGAGGCTGCATGGAAGAGGTGTTCTTCAATCAACATGACTTGCTGTCGTCACTGAGGCCATACAACGGACTGAAAAACATCCATGAAGTGCATTTAGGTTGCAGTCCTCAGTTTTTTGCCACTGAGGAAGACCCCATCAGCTTCTTCAGCTCCAAAGCTTACCTTTCTTATCCAACTTGGAAAGCACAACAAACGGCTATATTTGAATGCATTGTCCACACCTCAGCTAAAGAGGGAATTATCCTCTACAATGCAGCCAGAGAGGGAGATTTTGTGGCTCTTGAGATTCAAGAAGGTTTGCCGGTAGCTATTGTTGTAAAAGGTAATTCCAAAACTGAACTGCGTTCACTCACGACTATCAATGACAGGAAATGGCACGCGATCAAACTGCACTTCAGTCCCAAGAGCCTTGAGCTAACTGTTGATGGTGAGATGGTGAAAAGCAGCATTAGCTCTCGTTCGAAGGGTCTTCAGCTTAAAGGCCACATTTTTGTGGGTGGTATCGACGACAGCACTAGATTGGAAGCCAGAAAGGGGGGTCTCCTCTCTGTGTCAGGAAAGCGTGTAAGAGGAGGTTCTTTCAAAGGATGTTTTAAGAACATTCAAGTAAACAAAGTTAAAATGGGTCTCTCTAACGCTGTGGTCACAAAAGATATCTCAGTCGGTTGTGAGCCGGAAAAAACACCAGAGCCATCCACTCCTCTGAGTCCTACAAGTAACCCAGGATCCCTTTTTCAGCTAGTAACACCAACACCATACCTCCATATGTCCACTTTTGCAGCTGGGTTGGATAGAAGGTATGGGTCCAATTTTGTTCAGCTAAAAAACCTTGTTGTCCAGGAAGGAGGTCGAGCATCTCTTGAGGCCAAACACATCAAAGTCTTCTTGGATTTCAAAATGCTCGGCATTCGACAGTCTCAAATCATGTTCCGCATTCAAGAGCAGCCAGTTAGAGGTCAAATAAGGCTCGATGTTGATCAAGAACAAGAGGAGAACACATTCAGCATGCTGGACCTTTGGCATGAGAGAGTGATGTATGTCCATGGAGGCTCTGAGGAGGCTGATGACTTCTTCTTGTTTTCAGTTTTCAGTAGTAGTCGAAAGCAACCCCCTGATTATCTGAAAGGCAACAAAGTGTACCGCTACAATATCACTGTGACACCCACCAATGATGCACCCGAACTGAGTCTTCCTGAAGGCAACCTATTTGTCCTGTTGGAGAACTCGAAGAAACACCTCACATCCGACATTCTAAAAGCGACAGACATAGACAGTAACTACAGCGACCTCGTCTTCTCCGTGTTGGGCAATATGAATGCAGATGCAGGATATTTGGAAGTAGAGAGCAACCCTGGCCAGGCAGTGACCACATTCTCATATGTAGATCTGGATGAAATGAGGGTGTACTACGTCCACACAGGGGTGAGAAACTCCAGGATAGTTCTCAGAGTTAGTGATGGGGAAAAGGTCAGCAACACGGTGGTTTTAAGGATCATGGCCGTGCCACTAGAGTATAAGATTGCTAACAATACCGGGCTTGAGATTGCTCAAGGAGAGATGGCTATAATTGGTTCAAAGCATTTGGCTGTGCAAACTAATGCTGTCAAACAAGTTGTAGAAGTTCGGTACGATATCATTGAGCCACCGGAGTTTGGGGAACTCCAGAGACTTCACTCAAGTGGTGAATGGAGGCACACTGAATCATTTTCACAGAGGCTTCTTGAAAAAGAGCGCCTAAGATATGTTAGCACCTTTCAAGACATCCAAACCTCTAATGTTACAGACTACTTTAAGTGCAAAGTCACTGTGGCCGCAAGGACAACTACTGAAATAATTTTCCCAATCACTGTTAAATGGGTGAAGTACCACCTGGCAAGGAATATTATGATGGACCTTGATAAAGTAAGAAAAGCAACTTTGAGCTCAGATTATCTTCTTGCCAATGCTGAAGGCGTAGCTCTCTCAGAGGGGGACCTTTATTTTCGGGTCCTCACCATACCAAAGAAAGGGAGGCTCCTTCTTGACAGCACAGTGTTGACAAAAAACTCAACCTTTAGCCAGAGAGATCTCACAGATCAAAAAGTACATTATGAGCTGGTTGACAGACCTTATGAGGACACAATGGACAGGTTCAAATTTCAGCTGGTTTCCAAGCATGCTCAGTCTGAACACTTTGATTTCCAGTTTTCCATCAAAGCTGATGTCAATAGTGTGTTCATGAGAAACGAAGGACTCTCCCTTCAGGAGGGAGAGAGTAAACTCATCACAAAAAATGAGTTATTTGCAGAGACTCTTAGTACAAAAGAAATGTTTTACACAGTCATACGCAGCCCAAAATATGGGAAGCTAGCCCGCATTAGTCAGTCAAACTCCAGTGCTAGCTATGACAACATCTTATCCTTTAGTAATAAGGATATATTGGAGGAACGGTTATTGTACATCCACGATGACAGTGAAACAACTCAAGATGGTTTTACTTTTATAGCTTCGACCAGCCAAGGGTTCAAGTCATCCATTGAAGAGGATGACGTAAGCTCCAAAGAGGGAGTGTTCAACATTTCTATCCAGCTACTCAATGACCAAAAACCCATTCGAATCATAGATAAGGTTTTCCATGTAGTGAATGATGGACAGAAATTACTCACAGTCGAAGATTTGAGATATCACGATGCCGACTCTGACTTCGATGACGGCCAGCTCCTTTACACTCGGCATGGAATACTGATGGGAGACCTTGTGCTGGCCAATGACACCTCTTACCGGCTGTTTCAGTTTCAGCAGAAGGATTTGGAGGAGAAACGCGTGTTGTTCATTCACAAAGGTGTTAACTCTGGGAGGTTTGTGCTGTTTGTCTCAGACGGAAAACATTTTGTGTCAAGCCTGTTAGACATCAGTGCACAAGACCCTTTCCTGAGGGTGGCCAATAACACCGGCTTGTTGGTTCAGAAGGGACAATCTGTCAACTTTTTCACCAGCAATTTCAGCATTGTATCAAATTTGGACATCAGAGATGAAGAGGAGGTCATTTTCAAGTTGAGTGAGGCTCCCAAGTATGGAGGTCTATATCATGATGGAGCACAGGTGGAGACATTCACTCTCGCCAACCTAAAGGATGGACTAATCTCATACAGGCACGGTGACAGTAAACATCTGGCAGACTCTTTTAATTTGACAGTAAAATCTCAAGGTTTTCAACTGACTGAGAAAGTCAACGTGAAGGTTTACCTGGAAAGCCATCAGAGGCCGCCCATCGTGCAGAATAAAGACACTTTACTGGTGGAGGAGGGTAAACCGGTAAAGATTGATGAAAACAGGCTAGAGGTGAGTGAAAATTCAATGTAAGATCATCATAATCATTATATTATGAAAGTAATAATTAATTCATTTTGTTGAGATTATTTTTCCAAGTTAATGATAGGAATACAAGTTGAAGGACCCTGCATGCGTCATAGTGTTAGTTTTTTCAGTGATTTGGAGTTATAATGTGAATCCAAAGAAAAATAAACTGCTGTGACACATGTGGCATTTCAGAGATAACCACTGAATGTTTTCTGATTGGGCAGGTCACCCACGAGGACAACCTGCCATCAGAGATTGTGTTTACAGTCAAGGTTGCCCCCTCTCATGGCTTTCTCCGGCAATTCTTTGAAGCAGAGAAGCGCTACATCGGAACAGAGCAGTCCCCCGTCAAGACGTTTACTCAAGATGACATCAACAGAGGGAACATCCAGTATATGCAGGTGGAGCCAAACAAAGTCAACGACACCTTTTTTCTCGACGCCACCAACGGGATCACCGATATTAGCGACATTAGGATGTCTGTGGACATCATCCCACTGCTCATCCCTCTTCAGGTTTCTAATTTCTCTCTAGATGAGGGCGCTTCCAAAGCACTGTCACAGGATGTTCTCAAAGTCACCAACCAACACTTTTCTGGAATCAACTTCTTTTATAATTTGACTGAAGTTCCGCAGCATGGTCATGTGGAACACTCCCGACATCCTGGTGTGCCCATAACTACTTTCACCAGGAGACAGGTGAGATATAAAGCTTTCAAAGCAATCAAAAGGGGCATTTTTTTGCTGTAGCTGTTTTCATCTTTCTCAGCAGACACACAGAGTTTTGTCATCAATCTGTATGTGTACTGTGTTTGGAACCAAACTTGTAATTCAATCTGGACAATAAAGCAAAAGAGAAGGACTGTTGTCCTCATTTAACCTGCTAAAACATCAAAATAATGATATTTCTTGTGTTGTGATGATGCCCCCAAAGCATGTAAATCCACGGTGCAACATTTCAGGTGCCATGATGTGGTCAAGCTCGTTTTCGGTCACCCTTTAGCAGTGTCTGTAATCTTTAACCAGGTGGAGCATGAATTCATTTACTACGTCCATGACGGCAGTGAAACCCTTGCTGACAATTTCACTGTGGTGGCCAACGACACGGGCCTGAGGAAGCAGAGTGCCGCCCAGACAGTGTACATAGAAGTTGCAGCTGTCAACGACGAGGGTCCTGTTATTACCTCAAACCGGGTGCTCAGGGTGAGTCCGCAATTCAGCTCTATATTTAAACGCTGGTGACTTTTTCAAGCAGCAGATCTGGCACTGAAGTTGACTGTGAAAAAGACTTTCATGGGGTCAGTGTTCCAAGTTACCATGGCTGGGTGGGTGACTGGCTGGGTGATGAGAACTATGTTTGCTATGTGGGAGGTCCTGGGGGACCGGCAGCACTGAGCAGACACTGACACGTATCTGGAGATGCCCAGCTTTTTGGAACGTGCCACGGTGTGGTGCTTATTGCAAATCTTTTGAGGCTGAAGCAGATTGACTTACAGGCAAAACACAGATATTATGTTAGAAAGTTTCTTTAATCCAGTCTATCTGAGTGCTTCATGGGCTGATGCCATGGTCCAGAATTAGCTAAATGTTACCATCTAGCCTCAGTTCATTCAGCTTTTATTTATGTGAAATTTCCCTGGACCTGATGTGTAATGTATAATCTGAGGGCATTGATTTTAATATCTCTTAATTGTCTACTGATTATCAAAATAGAATCAGAGGGTTGTTTGTTGACAAACGCAATATGTGTCTTAGTTGCTGTTATCTGTTACTTTAGTAGAGCTACATATTTCATTTTAACAAAGATAGTTTGCCATTGATGTTTAGTGGAGGGACAGATTTCTAAAAAGAAATAGTCTGTCAGTGGCCACAAGGTGGCTCTCTGCCACTGCTCATCTCCACATCTACTCCTAACATGACACCACAGAAGGTTTTAGAGAATTACAACGCCTATTGAGAAAACCGCATTTTTCATTGTAAAATGTGTTTTGAAAATGATCATTTTATATATAAATATTTTTAGAACATTCCTTTTCCAGTTATGGATCTATGTTGGCTGTCTAAGTTTTCCCTAAAGACACAAATTGTGTTAACATTACAGACAAATTAACCATCAGAAGATAATTTAGTCTTATAGAGGTCAAAGACCCTTTAAACAGTATCTCCTTTTCTCTCATTCTTCGATAATTTTTATGAGAATTGATCTCTTATGAACTAGTCAAACTAGGAATCCGGCCAAGCTGGTAATATGGGCGACCAAACAGAAAGTGTAGAATCAGTCTTGAGTCATACTGTTCATGAAGGAGGTGGAAGGTGTTTGACTGCAGTGCTTGTGTGGCTAGTATGGCTGCCTTTGACCTTCAAGAACTAACCAAAGATGTCTCTCAGGCCTTTGTTCCAGTAAGAAACAATTAAAACAAAGCACGAGACAAGCTCAGCATAACGTCTGAGCATCTATGTGGACTCACTGTCACCCTATATTTAGAGTTTTTATAGAGTGGTGTCTGCCTGCGCACATGTCAGCACCTCCCAATGTCTTATCAGCAGTGTCTGCCTGCAAGAGTTGTGTCAAAACCCACTTCCTTTAACCCACCAAACCTCTCTGTCTGAAATGAAGCGTCTTTCACATCTGAAAAATTCAGAAAAGCCTGTTGCTGAGGCTTTGAGCATTTACTCCCTGAGAAAATATTGTGAGTGCGTTTGTAAATGATACAAACCATGTGGCATCCTTGCATGTCAGCATTGCATGCTAAACTACTATCTAATCTCAATAACCTGGAAAAACAACATCTGTGAACTCTTGAGTTATCGTTTGTGACCAAAGCTAAATATAGTAAGTGTGACCTTTAAGTTTCTGTAACAATTTATTCCTCTTTTTTCTAGTGGGGGTGTTATTAAAGTATAATATGTGGTCACCCAAGGCAACAGATCTACAAGCTGAATAGTCTGTTTGCATAGCTTTTTTGGTTCATTCTTAACACACAGATCAGAGAGCTGCTGATTGCATATGAGGTTTTAATAACTAATATGTCTGTTAGGTTAATTTTTCAATGCACATTTCAGTTTGAAATCTACTAGGGCCTTTGTTCTTCTTGTTCATCATAAATGTTTTTTTCTGATGAATTCTTTTAATCTTTTAGGATATTAGGTAGCTCTTACCAGTCATTTGAATAAGAAAAACTTTGTCCCGCCCTAAGTGTGGTGGACAATGATTTATCTGTGACTTTAGACATAGTTTTATACTCATTGAACTGACAAATGAAACTGAATGTCTGAGTGGGTTATACTTTTGTGCTTCATCTGTGTGTCATCTGAATGTGGATATACCGGCATGATTGAACTTAGCCTCTTGTCAGTGTTTAAAGTGACTTCATTGAACAAGTTTTAAATAAGCAAATATAACTTATTAGACATTTTTTAAGAGAGATTAGCTTATAGGGGAAGAAAACTGGACTTTTCATTTGGTTTGATTTGTAATAGCGGAATTAGCATTTGGATTATTATATTGGATAACTGGATAACTTTAGTAACCAACACAGAAACATGATTTAGGACTTCACTGACTTGGAAATGCCTAACCATTCATTTATTACCAAGTATGAGGATGAGGATAAGGATATGGTTGTTTTTCATAATAAACAAGCTAAAAACATTATCAGTTTTGTTGTATGATAACATTTCAATAAGTGAAGGACAAAAACACGTGTAAACATGAAAGTAAATTCCTTTTGGCTGCGTCAGTTTTTTTTAAACCTCATGAGCTTCCATGCTGACTCATTTGAAAACAGTGCAGCCGTTAATATATCAGAAACAACATCTGAGTTTTCCTTTCATTTTGCTGCTGACATGCCCAATGTGAAAATGGCATGTTCCTCTCATCACGTTTGTGGTCATATGCTCTGCATTTTTTCCCACCAATGTTTTAATTACTGTGGAATGACAACCTGTCCGAGATAAAATAACTTTGTTATGCAACAGCTTTTCTATTCTGCAGCCTTTGTTGTCAAGTATCTGCATTGCTCAGTAGTTTGGGGCTCTCTGTTAACGAGCTCCACTGTTGCTTAAGGCTTTCCAGTGTATGTGGAGCTGAACTTTACCGGCACTGAAGTACTTTTAGATCCGTTTACGGTCTATATTTAGTGCCAGGGTGTCCTTGATTTAAGCAGCGTTCAAGTAACTTTTTTCCTTAGGTTGTTGTTGTCCTACTATCTATCTATGCTTAAGTTAATTAATACTTTTTTAGTTTTTTGGTAATATTTACAGTGGGAAAAATTTGGGGGAAAAAAACATTAAATGGCCTAACAAAAGTCCAACATGGTTCCATTTTGCGCTTAAATCACCAGATATATCAACTAAATTGTCATTTGGGGTACAGATGGCACCTTTCACGTCCTTTTCTGTCCAGGTTTGGGTGTCTTCAGTTACAGAAATCAGGCAGCAAGATCTCAGAGCACAGGACCTGGACACCCCCCCAGATGAGCTCCACTTCATGGCGACCCCCCCCAGTAATGGACACCTGGCCCTGAAGAGTGCTCCCATGAAGGCAGTGCTCAACTTCACCCAGGCCCACATAGACAAGGGTCACCTGCTGTTTGTGCACAAAGGTAGAGCTGCATGAGAGGAGAACTTGTTAAAAAAATGTATTTCCAGTCATTTGGTATATTTTGCATACATTTATACAAACAACTTAAAAGCAGGAAACATTACCCACCTATTAAAGGCCTATAAGAAAAATCAAATTGAACATAATGATAAATATTTCCATATTTGCTATGTTCTGTGTTGTTAATGAAACAGAATTGATACCTGTGGGCAGTCGCTGCTTTTTTCTCTTTGTAAGCTCACTGAATTGAGGCCATAAGCAGATGCAATGTGCAGTTGCCATCAGTAGTTATATAATGAGTTGTAACATGGTAATACTTCATGGTCTGACAATAAATGTGTAACATTCAGCATTTTAGAGTGTAGAAAATAAGGGTCTTTCTGCTTACTGTTCTGATTTTTATCTTCTCTTTTCTTTGTCTTAAGCAACCAGAAAAGGCTGTGATAATAGTAAGCAGAACAGTCCAGCCCATCGTGTCGAATAATGTCTTTTTCTTTTTCAGACACACCCACAGTACTTAAAATGAAAAAAAGATTTAATTGGAAGAGTTGTTTAGGTCAATTTTTTTTGTGTATGAAAGGTAGCAATTGCTTATTTGTAAAGGGAAAACTCAGCAGCCAGTGCAGGAAGACCTTTTGATAACTGTCCAGGTTAATCAGTTGATTTATGTATTTTCCAGGTGCCATGTCTGGTGGATTCAACTTCCAAGTCAATGATGGAGTGAACTTCACCCCCAGGCAGATCTTCAGCATTACAGCCAAAGCTTTAGTTCTCAGTTTGGAGAAAAACCGACCGCTCAAAGTGTTTCCAGGTACATCTCATATTAGGGCAAAATCTGTAAATGATCAGCGTGCTGACCTGTGTTATGATGTCTGTTCCCTGCTCTCACTTTTGGCACAAGCTCAAAATATGTTGAATAAGGTTAAGTGATTTCCGAGAACACATGAGCGCTGCGTGTGTTTGATGCAGTTAAGGCTTTATTAGATTTTAGAATTTTGGGGGTAATAATAGATCCTCGTATCAGTGCGGTGTTTGTGGGTCACCCTCTGAATAAACCGTTGGCAGGATATATTTATGTTTAGTCATGCATGGTGGCACAGAGGAGTAAGCTGTCATGCTTTGGGTTCATAAATGACATTTGTCAGCAGAAGTTTTGGGCTTTTGCCTGTTATTTGATAATGACAAGATTACAGTTAAACTTTACTCAGACCTATCATTCTCTGCAACTTGAGATTCCACAGCTTCTTCTTGAAAAGAGCTGAAACATCACATATTTGTTGTCTCTTTCTATTAATACCCATTAACTTCCTCATAGTTTGCAAGGAAGTGTAACTTTATTCTTTTGAGTTGTCGCAAGTTCTTATGTTAAGTCTTACTACTTCATGATTGCCATAGATTCCTTTTCTTAAGTGTTTTTTGGGGCCTTTACAACAGCCAGGTCTCTAAATCTGTCTGGTTGTAACATATTTGCATTACTTACTTCTATCACATTCAGAAGCTAAAAATAGGCAGACTGGGATCTACTGTGTCTGCACATTTTGAGCTTTCCCGTGATTTTCGGTGGTCTGCTGTTTCAATTAGAGGTAATGGATATTGTAAGGGGGGGCGGCACGGTGGTGTGGTGGTTAGCACTGTCGCCTCCCAGCAAGAGGGTTCTGGGTTCGAATCCCGGGGGAACCAGGACACTTCTGGGTGGAGTTTGCATGTTCTCCCTGTGTCAGCGTGGGTTCTCTCCGGGTTCTCCGGCTTCCTCCCACAGTCCAAAAACCTGCATGTTAGGCTGATTGGAGATTGGGGAAATTGCCCTTAGGAGTGAATGTGAGTGGTTGTTTGTCCTTGTGTGTCTCTGTGTGGCCCTGCGATGGACTGGCGGACTGTCCAGGGTGTACCCTGCCTCTCGCCCGTTGACCACTGGGATAGGCTCCAGTTCCCCCCGCGACCCCATGAGGGAATAAGCGGTATTGATAATGGATGGATGTATGGATATTGTAAGGTGCAGCAAACAGCCAGCTGGCACGCTCTGCTGAGCTTCCCTGCCACAGAGTAAGTGGGTACTTGAAAGGCTGTGCCACAGTCCGTCTTTGGCGGTCCTGCTCCTGCTTTGTGCCAGGCAGAGCAGAGGAAGAGGACAGGATAGAAGCTGAAGTATCAATGAGTCGTTGTGATGTGATGAGGAAGATGTGAAACACTTTTCCCACTGCCCCCAAACACCAAAAATGTCTGCAAGAATGTAAGCTTTCAGTATTTACCTGAAAACATGCATCTCATGAATCATTGTCACATGTGTGCGATTACCACAAATGGCAACCCAACCAATATATCTTAGCAACTATATGTACACATGTGCTGACAATACATCAACAATAATGTTCAGATTTAGTCCAGAATAACTATTTTTATTCTTAAAAGATAAGAAAACCTGTTTGTCCCTCGTCATCCAAGTGGGAAATGTCCCATGAGAGACAAGGATGGTGGATGTCCTGCTAACTTGATGAATAGATTTGTCTCCTTTATTTTACTGCCTTCCGTCATTAATCAGCCTTCTTTTATTTTTTACTCATCACAAGTGGTAGCAGTACTGAAAACCTTTTGAAGCTCAAAAATAGTCTCAGTAGTAACACCCCTTTTTTTTTTTTCCCCACGTGGAAAATTAGTTTCTGCAAGGAGCTTTTCTGCATATTTATGTAATACCAAGCGCTACAGTAGGACGGAGCTGTGAAAGGTCTCTGATGTCTGCATTGCAGCTTTAATTTAACACATCAGAAAGCTTTCATCATCCTGGACCAGACCTTGTTTTGTGTAGTTTGGAGTCAAAACAATGTGAAACACTTTCAGAGGGGTGACGTTTTAAGATTTGATGTGGCTGTATAAAAGCTGCACCACCAAGTGGCATCAGCCACATGCCCCACTGAGCCAAAAAGAAAACGGTCTCTTTATATTTCTTGATCACGTCTAATCATTACTGTCTCTGTGGTATCATTCGTCTCCAGGCTCCTCTAGAGCTATCACCAACGAGCACTTGCAAGCAGTGACCAATGACATGAGTAACACCTCAAAACGCATCATCACATTCAATGTGATCCAGCATCCGAAGTTGGGGCGTTTTGTGACCCGGCAGCCTGACAATTCAACGTTGGACGTCTCCACTTTCACACAAGAAATGGTGAGTGAATAGCTGGAGATCACATCAGCATCTTGCTCGTATTTAAAGACATACATTAATGAAACAGACAAAAATAAATAAATGAATGCAGGAGTTCTTCCAGTCCCATGGAGAGTGGTACTGGATGAATAATGCATGTCCCTGCGTCTTTGTTGAAGATATTGACTTGCTTGCAGAGCCGAATGGAGTTTTTGGTAATCAATTATTTCTGATGGATTTTAATGGCAGTCAAAGCTGAGATGCTTGTGCTGTACGTACTGCTGAGCAGAGCAGCTTTAAATCATTGATTGCATCTTGTACTTACTGGAGTAATGTTTTTCAGACTGATGTGGAAATTATCTTGAGGGAGATGGTGGGATGGGACCCCTTAAGCATGTGATCGAGCCTGAAGGTTGTGCAACGTTTAGACTGGAAAATAATTTTACTGCTCCACAGGTGGACAGAAAAGAGGTTGTGTATATTCAAACCTCCATCGAGTCTGTGGGCTGGGAAGCCATGGACTCCATTGCCTTCTCTGTAGCATCTCCACCTGCTTCTTTGGACAGTCAGATCTTCAGGATAGACATCTCCTATGAGAATACAGGACCTGAGCACAGCACAGTCCTCCTCGCAAACACAGGTGTGATCAATACTCTGCAGGTTTGAAAGCAGCAAAGGTGCTTTTACCTTGGCTGGATTAGCTGTTGGCCTTATCGCAATGCTTAGACTTGTTTTGTGACAAACAGGTGCTGAGGTGACCGAAGGGGAGAGCGTCGTCATTGACAAGTCAAAGCTGGATGCCTCCAACCTGATGTCCAAGCTGCCGACTCCCCAGCGGAGCTCCCATGAGGTCTGGTTTCAGGTGACATCTCTGCCTCAGCACGGTGTCATCGTGGTGGGGGAGAGAAACCTCACCAAGGAGAAACCCAACTTCTCCCAGTTCATTCTGAACAAATATGGCATCACCTACAAGCACGACCACTCAGAGACCACTAGTGATGAGTTTGTGTTCAGTGCATGGCTAAATCCTAAAGGCAGAACTGCACAGCACCCTCAAGATGAAGGAGATTTTGTTGTGGAGCATTTTAAGATTACGGTCTTGCCTGTTAATGATCAGCCCCCTCTGCTGAAAACCAAAGCACCTAGTCTGAAGGTGGTGCAAGGAGACAGAGTTGTCCTCGGGCCTGAACACCTCAGAGTAGAAGACTTAGACGATCCTCCAGAGGATATTCAATTCTCTGTGATTAGTAAGCCAAGCAATGGTTACCTAGCTCTTTATGGAAGTTTGAATGAGTCTGTACTGGCTTTCACTCAAGCGCAAATCAACAACAGGAGCCTCTACTTTGTCCATGATGGAAGCACAGTTTCAGGGGTGTTTTACTTCAGTGTCACTGATGGACACCATAAACCAATATATAAACTCTTTAACCTAGAAGTGACAGAAATCACCATTTATCTGGTCAATTACACTGGATTGTCACTGCAGCAGGGCAAGACCACAGTACCTCTGACCAATAATAACCTTTCTGCTGGGACCAATGGGAAGAATGTCACCCTGCACTACCAGATCACAAAGCCGCCCAGTTTTGGAAAACTTCTAAAAGACGAACGAGAAATTACAGAATTCAAACAGGAGGATTTACAGGCTGAAAGTCTGTTCTACCACATGACTTCCCTTTCCTCCTGGGAGGACAGCTTTGAGTTTACTGCTTTCACGTCAGAAGCTAATCTGACCAACCAAGTGCTTAACATAACTGTCAGACCTTTGATCCAGCTTGGCAAAGGTTTGAGGGTTCCCAACGGGATTACCGTCAAACTCAGCTCAGACTTTTTTGATGTCTCTGAACTGGCTAACATAAGCGACAGTGATCCTGCCTTCCAAATTATATCCCATCCTAAGTATGGGAAGGTGGTAAAGACAAAACCCAAAACGTCCAGGAGAGCCTTACCCGCGGAATCCTTCACCTTTGAGGACATTTTGCAGGAGGAGGTAGCTCTAGAGCTGAGTGCCAACATGACTGGCGTGCAGGAGCTAAATGACTCACTGGTATTTGTACTTAGAGCAGACAACATCCAACCTGCGCAAGGGGAGTTCCACTTTACAGTCATCCCCTATGATCCATCACTTTTTCCAACCACAAAGAGTCCATCCCTAGCCACTTCACCGGTTCCTCACACCCCAGGCAAGACTTCCAGAAATGGGACTGCTTCTCCCGTCCTGTCCACAGTCCTCTTTTCCACACAGCAACCGAGCAAAAACCAGCAAAAATTCAAAGGACGCAACCGCTGGGGGAACTCAAACAGAACCAGCCTCTTCAGTACAACTCTTGCCAAACCATCTCAAACTGAGGAGTTCCCCTTTAGTAACACACCAGTGCGCGTGGAGTCTTACCCTCAAAAAACCTCCAATCCGCTCCTGGTAATCTTACCACTGCTCGCCCTACTCCTGCTAATAATCATCTTTGTGGTCCTTGTTGTCTTTCTCCGGCACCACAGGCAAAGGAAGCAGAGCGCCACGGCTCCGCAGGAGCCTCCTTCCCCTGCTCCTGCAGACAGTCAGTCTTACAATGGACAGACCCAGAGGAGCACAACAGTTCCCACAGTAACTGTCACTCCTTTGAACCCCTCCTGTCCCGGTAGCCCTGCTTTTGATCGCATGTTTACGCCTAACCGAGGCTCACCTTACAACACAGTCGACTCTGATTTACTCGTGAGTTCTTGGAGTAATGGATCCCCTGTAGTTTCTTCCCAAATTCTTAGAACTCCCAATCCCACTCTGCAGAAGAATCAGTACTGGGTGTGATCCCCTAAAAAAGAATACTTTCGAGAATATTCTGGAGAATATCGTCCACTCTGAGTGAAAACAAAATCTTGCAGATTTTTGGCATCTTTTGTTACACCTAGTTCTGTGTGGTTCAGTTTCATCACTGTCGTGCTTCATATTTTGATGTCTGCAGACAGTTTAGCACATCAGCAAACAGGCAGCTGCTGCCTTTGTAACCATCACTGCCACTCACTTAGACAAGCCCCACACCTATGGGGGAACAGGGAGCTAACAGCATTTCTAGCAGAGCAGGAACCTGTCAGAAGAACCACAGACTGTTTTAAGGTTTTGGAGACGGTCTTATGCGTCCATCACATAGGTTTGTGAGTTAAAAGCTGTTGCAGAAAGTTCCAATGCAAGTCCAGTTGCTCCTGCATCAGAAAGACAGTAAAAAAGACAACACAGCTGAGGAACAAAGAGAAATATTTTGTCTAATACTAAGCTAGAGAACTGTAATCTAGCACATATGTTGCTAATTGAAAGGGAAATACTACTGTGTTTCAACACTGCTTGTTTTAAGGTTCATCCTCATCAGGTTGACGCAATTACACACACTATTTTAAGCCTTGAGGAAAAAGTAAATAGTTATCCATAAAAGTTTTATTCTTTCAGTTGGAAGTCCACCTAAATACCAGTGAAAGATCCCAAACTAATCCCTGCTGCATGTTTAGTTGGAAGGGCAGGCTTTACTCACTGAAGAGTTTCCAAAGCAGCCATCAGTGCAGAAGGTGTGTGATGCGTCACCGACATTGAGCTGTCCTCATGCATGTTGAAGTTTCCGGGTCGAAGACGATGCAGATACAGCTAAAACTGTGAATTGCCCAGACTAACACTGACACAGAGGTTTATTAGTTGAGCGTTTGACTTGATTGTGCAGATTTTCTATTGTTTGTTTGTATTAAATATATATACACGCATACTAAAGTATATTTACTTTTGTAAACTCAGGTAATCTATTAACACTAGCTTTATGTTGCCTCTACTAAAGGCAGCATGTCCCATAAGTAATCACAGCTGTCTAACACACGCCTCCCAGCGGGGCTATTTAAAAAATGGTAGATTCATACCTCGAAAAGACCTACAGTGTTTTTTTTTTGTGTTTTTTTTTAAATTTTTGTTGTGGCCTCGACTGAAATCATTTCAGCATGATAATGATATTTTTATTTCAGTTTCTGGATGTCAAGGAATCGTTTTGTCACAGATTTGAAATAATCCGCAGATCAATGTACAGTTCCCAAATTTTTCATTTGGTAACTGCATTCAAATTGAATCATGACGATCTGCGGCATGGCTTTCTAATGGGGGGGGTTACACTGTTTGTGTGTCAACAGAGTACTTTTTAAGATTTGTCGAACCACTGAAAGAGTCTGTTTGAGCCAAATGTGGAGAAGCTCTCCTTAACACAAATGCAGTAATTTATGTCATTTATCGGAGGACCTGTGGAGGAGGGTTTTGGTGGACTGTAGGTGGACTGCGCTGTAAATGAGCAGCTGTGGGAGATGAGTTTGCTACTGCAGAAAAGTTCTGAGATCATTTGGTACTGAAGAGAGTCGTCTATCCTGTGAATTCTTGTTCTCATCTGAATGGTGTACCTTAATATGTAACAGAAGTGTCAACTTTATTTATACCATATTTTTAATAAACCACTTTGAATCGTTCGCTGTCACTTTTTGCTCACTTTGAAATCAAACGTAGTCTTTGCTAGCATAATTCAGGCTTCTAATCTATTCCATTTTCATCTTTTTTTTCTTTCTTTTTCTCAGGGCAGTTTTATCTGTTCCCATCTGTCGCCAGGGCAAGTGTCTTTTAACAAATCCATGAAGGATTTGTTAAAAGTAAATATGTGATGGGATTCAGGAGAGGCACACAGATCTTTTTCTGCAGCTCGGGCTTCAGCACTGAGTCAGTCGGCTCGGCTGATGGTGCCACGCAAAGAAAGCAGCTGCTTGTTCTCCTGAGCCCAAACTCCCAAATGCATCATCACACCATCATAGGTGTTGTTTGAGGACCACGGTGACTGGATGTTTCTTCCCCGATTTGAGAATATATTTCCAGGTCAGCTTCATGATTATCTTTGGACTAAAGTGCTTACCATCTGTTTTAATCAGGAGGGGTTCACTTTTACATCAACTAAAGAGTTTAGGATTTACAGCTATGAAATGTTTAGAGTATTTCCAAACAAATATTGAAAAGAAGGCTTCTCAGATGGGGGCTTCTTATTGTCTGGAACCCATAGATGTCACCATTTTATTTGTGGTGCTTTGTAGCTGTTCCTTCTGTGTTTATTTGTGTCTTCAGTTAGAAAGCCTTTCCTCCACCAAGCAGAGAAGAAGAGGACTGAGCACGTGGTATATCTTTTTTTACTTTGTGATTCATGGTCCTGCCACAGACACATGCTGTTTATTTCATTAACAACCACCTCCCTGCGTGTGACCAAACCTCCTTCATACATTTCTTTCATAATATGTTGTTTTTACAGATGACCCTTTTTTGTGCATATTGCTGATTCGTGTCTTTTAATTTCTTTGGGATACTTCAAATCCACCTCAGACTTTTGCTCTGCTTTACTGATAAAGAGATTGTGTCAATATTGTGTTTTTTCCTTGTTTAGTCTATGGAAAACATGGAGCAGCATTTCGTTTGTCGACTGAATAAGAGGAGCTTCTTTCTCTGGAGCATCTGTGAAATGGTAGAAATTACATTTGGAGGAGAAAAAAAGCAAATGACACAGAGATTCTTGGCACCAAAAGCATTGATAAGAACTCAGAAACCTTCAGACCAGAGTGAGTCCAAATCATGATACGCAAGCATCATCAATCATTTTCTACTTTAAGCAAAGGATTTATCACACAAAGCTACATCAGTGCTTTTTAAAAACTTTCTTCTCCACATGCATTTTTTTAAATGCAGCTAACCGTGAAATCCGCTGAATTTGTTATGCAGCACTGATTTAGCAAGAATACAACCTAAAATAAAATGCACCACAGCAGGTCTAACTGCGGGGGTTAACAGAGCTTTCTCCCACTTAGCCCACGAACACTCACCCTCATCGCCCCACGGCCCCAAACTGAGCTCCAACCTCACCCCAAACGGTGGCGATCCAAAACGAGTGACGATCCCAGACTATCCAGAGACAGGCAACATGCAGCCTGGCCTCAGTGGTGTAAAAATCATTTGCAAGGATTGAGATTGTGGATGTAAAGCCGACCGTGTGCAGTCGGTTGTAATATTTTGTGGTGTTTTGCTCCAACGGTTAGAGCCTCAGAATCTGAGATTTCAGCTGTATATTTAGGACCCGTTGATCCAGACTTTAGGAGTTTTGCAACACTTTTTATATCCCACCTCAAACAGCTGAATCGACGCAAGTTTTTCTCCCATTTTTGTGTTTCAATTGGCAGGCAAAAAATATGCTTGGATTTCTGGAAAGCGTATACAGAGGCTTTGCATTCCCGGGTTTGCTCAGCTGTAATTTGGTGCAGTGGGGCAGTAATTCAGCCGCCGGCCTCAGAATGTGAACCGTAACAAAGGGGTAAACAAAATGAAAAATTATGCTTTACACAAGCCGTCATCCTGCTGTCATGCATTATTGTTGTTATTGTTAACAATCACACTGATGCAGGTATATATACATATATATATTATGCTGTGACTCCTAAACCGGCTCCTGTCTAGGTCTGCAGCTCACATTTTACCATCTGAAACTTAAACATTACTATGATAGTTATAATTCCAGATATGTTATACCACATATATGGTATCATTGCAGTACTTCTTCCACAATCTTTATTTTTACACTGAAAATACAAATACTGATTTAATGAAATGATTCTAACCCAATCTTAAATTTGAAACTGTTAAAGATATCATTTAAATTTTGACATAATTTGACATATTTTCTTTATGTCACTGTAATGTTATCATTTCCAACTCTCAAGGTCTCCATTTTGGAATCATTTTGATAAAAATAAGGATTTTGTTTCTTGTACATCTCATGTCCAACATCATTGAACCCTTATCTAAGCTCCCTTGGTGCTTTTTACCATGAATAACCCTCAGTTTTAGTGTCAGAAAAGAGGAAATTATTATAGAGAAAACGCTGACATGATGATGTGATGTTACAAAATGGGAATGTCTGGCAGGAAGTGGTCAGATGTTCCACAAAGACAGGGCATATCTTAACATTACGTCAGCTGCTTGCTATGTAAAACAAAGCACCGGTGACAAAAGTGCATGAGTCCATACCAACAATTACAACACTGAGACTAAAAAGACAGCTACTTGCAGATTAGAATAATGCGCATATACGCTGAAACTCAATGAAACAAAACCCAGAGAGAGATGTTAGGATGAGGGTGGCGGGCTTTTTGCCCTCGGATGTTGGATCTAACTGTAATCACTGTAATTCGAGGTTTGCAAATTGTGGGGCTGAGGGTTAAAGAACAATGGTGCTCTGTGAGACGAGGCTGAGAGAGACAATGCTGTCTTGGCTCATTTGGCTTAACAAGGTTCCACATAGCCAAACCCAGCTGGCTAATTAAGTCACTGCCACCTCCAGTTGGATCTTACAAAAACAATGTTTCAGTCCTGAAAAGACTTAATTTTCTCTTTATGTTAACTGCTGCAGCAAAAACACTGCCAGTGCACCGAAAAAGCATCAGTATCATTTAGTCTGCTCACAAAAACTAATCAAGGCATGTAAAATACTGCGAAGGTATTCAGAATCTAACATGCTGGTGCTAAAATCCACGGCTGTTGCCTTTTAGGTGGGATTCCCATCATGCAAATGTTGGCGCCAAAGCAAAACAAAGGCTTGCCGCAATTCAGCCAAGGAGTAGCAGTATTTGGATTCTTCTTAGTCCAGATCTGAAGTGGGTTCTTGTATCTCCTCTGCTGGGAAAGGATTACCGACTGATTCATTTCACGGGCCTCTCTCACGGGCACAGAGCTAATTAAGGAAACTATTAGGTTTTTTGGAATGTTTTACAATTGGCAGAAAATCATATTCTTGCGTAGTTAATAGACTAATCAGATAGATGAACAGTCTTAGGCAGGAGCTCTTTAAAAACCCATGCCCTCTTTGGATCTAAATTCCAATGTTTTGTGACTAGTCGACATTGCCCAGTTTTATATCAGCAAGTCCCTTTGTTGTCTTGTTTTTTTTTTTTTACAATTTTCCTGATATTTTCATAAGTGTCTGTCTTTGCTGACGTGTGTCAACCTGTAAGTCCAGAAAAGCAAAGCATGGCATAGACTGAAAAGGAAGAAAAAAGAAAATGCTAGAGAGAAGAAAATAACAAATACGGCCCTGCTGGGCAAGAAATCTAACCAAAGACCAAAAATCTAATAAATTGAAGTTCAAAAACAAGCACAAAGCAATTGCATTCTGGTGGAGAAGGTAATGACTTATTATCACTTGGTCATCAAAGCAGGAACAAAAATGTTAGTTAATCAACATGAAAAAGGAAGAAATACATTGAAAACGATACAAGAAGTCAATAAAAGATAAATTAACACAGAAATTAGGAACATAAAACCCATATATCAAACGGAATACATCATGGAAACATGAGTAATCTTCAACCTTTTTAAAATGATTATTTTATGGGATATAAATGACTACTAGATGAACACTGTCCTGTGGAACAGCTCCTTAGTCACCGCTGCACCCCCATGCCATCAGATATGCAGCACTGAAAAAAAGCCAAGTGGTTCTCCTTATTTTTATTTAAGGAAGTGACATAATCATTTCCTCCAAGAAAAAAAAATCTAATTTTGCTTTTGTCTGACCTCAGGTTAGTATCTATCTGTATGGCTCCTTGCTAAAAGAGCTTTGGCTCAGAAAAGACAGGAACATTCTGCCGTATAAAAAATGCGATTCCTCCTGTGCCTCGCAGAGCTTAATCTACACTGTGGATGGTACATGGACTGTACCATCCACAGTGGTACAGTCCGTGTAGGGTCCAGGGATCACAGGAACCCCGTATAGATTTTTTAAATCTGTTCCTTTTGTGGAGAGATGGCTCTCGAAATTATGCGATATGAGTGATAGACTATTCAAAGTCTCAGCAGCCTAATTAGAAAAAAACATTACTGTGACAGTGCTTCATAACCTCTGCTCAGACGTTATGAAGCAGAGTCTCTGCCCCTCTAAGGTGCTCTTTTTTATATCCAAATCATGCCAAATGCTTTCTGGCATTTTCCAGTTGTTGCCACTTTTATCCTAACTTACTTTACAAATGTTTCTGCTGTAAAATGAACAATTATCTAGTATTTAACACAGAACAGTCAAATGTCCTCATTTTCCCTCATTATTATAACATGATGGTTATTGCTTATTCACACCAGGCCCACCATCACAGTAACTTTCCACCGGTTGAGCCCCGTTGCAGTCATCCATCACATGAGCGTGATAAAATGGACGTCATTCACCGGATGGCTGTGCTAACGTTTCCCCGGAAAATTCTGCTGACACAGAATTCCAGACATCAGTCTTCATAATCAGTCAAAATGATGAGGAAGCTTTTGAAGAATGGCGAAATACAATCAGAGCTCGGGCTGCCTGTAGTTCACAGGAGCGGCTTTGTTTAGTGGCTGTGCTCAGATGAGGCCGGTGGATGTGGAACAAAGTTGGCTGACAAACTTTATGACTTTATTAAAT